AGGCCAAGGCTACACTGGAGCCAGATACGTGCAGCAAGCTGCAGATTCCAAAACTCGCTTAAACATGGCAGCATCGCGTCTATGTCTACTGATATAGGTGCCACTTCGGGAACAAATTTATCCCTTTCAATTTATTAGCCTTTCGTTGCATTGCTCGCAGCGCACACTGTGTCTTCTTCTGCGCATTTACATAAGTTGGTGTCTAGAGTTTTTACCAGTTAGCATATATCTTGAAACTGGGACCATTGGTACGCTCAGATAATCTAGATTTCAAATTATCTACCAGCAGCTTGCGCTTTTGGTTGTGTAATTTAGATCTTGAGAAAGTTTGCCTATAATCTGACCCATAGATGATACCCTGGCAACCTACCCCTTTTTGGGCTGTGAACCCTAGCGCTGTCAACTTCCGTGTAGCATGCATTTTACACACATTCGTTTCATTCGTGCTGGTCATTGCATTGAGTACAACAGTCCAGTCATATTCATCGTATATATTGACCCCTGTCGAAACGCAACGGTTGCTAGTAGTGAAGGTACGTGCACACTTACAACGCCTTAGACTCCAGTTCATCTAGTAGTCATTTGTGGTTTCACGAACAACTAGTTCAAATCTCGCTCCAGGGAAAAAATACCATTCATCCGACCGGAGTGCAGTACGCCCACCCACCTTGAATATCCGAGCGGACCTAAAAACTGGCGAAAATTAGGTGGAAACGATCCGTACCGACCAGGAAAGGACGACTACCGACCCAATTGGATATAAAACTACCTGACTCACACTAATAGTCAATAATCAAGCGTTCACATTGGTTGTTGAGAATGTATGCTACTGCCGCCTTGAAATTATTAAGATTATCCCTATCATTTAATAGCTGGTACCCATCGATATGTATTTCTCGACTGAGTGTTACATTTCGTTTTAGATTATGTAATCCTGAATCAGGATTTTTGAAATGGGCCAAAACGAAGAAAAGGAAAAGGAAGCGGGCGGGGCTCGAAGGGCCCCCACAGGGGGTCTGACGAGTAGTCTGTGGGTAGGCTTTTGACTGTCCGGGTTTCTGATACACAATAAAATTATATATGTGTACACACACACACATACACACCCGTTACCACTTGCACGTGCTACTCTTATGTACTTTAAGTATGGTCTTGTGTATTTCAGACAAGATTATCTTACACACAAACGAGACTAACACAATCGTGAAGACATTCTTAATCTAGCTATATCATTTTTTTCTAACAATGGCGAATTCCGAAAATCGCATTGCATTCAATTGATGCATCAGCCAATCTTTGCATGCACCAGTCAATCTTTGCATGTTTCACCGCCTGTAGCTATATTCTACGACAACTTCAAGCGTATTTTGAGCGTAGTTTAGCGTGCAGGAATATGACAGTGTCTACGCGAGAGAGAAGACGAAGCAGAAAAAAAGTGACAGCTGTACTCTAGTACATATTTTAGTGAATAACATCAGCGTACAATAGCGTGCACCGATATGAGCGGGTCTTCACGTACAGCAGGTGGCAAGATCAAGGGCCTAAATAAAGATGGAATATTTCGTCAAAAGGGGCCGGGGGGTGCGCATAACACAAAAAAGGCGAAGCGCCAGGTAAGTAAAAAATGAGAAATCAGATGAAGATCAATACCATGTTCAAGCATCGCATCAAGAACTCGGCACCGGAAAATGGGTAAGGTTGTGGACATGGAAGTTAGTATTGAGGGGAATCGCGGTACAGCAGTAAGAGCTACAGAGACGCACGGCGCGCAGGTTCAGACCACAGAAGAGTTGCTTGCTTGCACAAACCAAACGAGCACACCAAAATATGAACGACATGCGAGCATCGTCTGAATCAGGCATACAACCCTCGATTGAAGCAGAAGGTGTGGAGGTAGCAAAACAACCAGCGGTCGTAGCAGCCAATATTCAAAACGGAGCGAACCCCGAACAAATAATACCCATATCAGTGATGCACAACCAGGAGACAATTGTTCCTTAAATAATACCTCCCAACACTATAGCAGGCAATAACGAGCAAACTCTGACCTCCACAATAACTCAGAGTGCAGGCGCTGCAAACAATGGTCGTTTACAGCTTGTGGCTGATGACGATGACGTGAATTTGGACGGAGACTTCTACGATGATGATGAGGCGATGTCTTGGTGTACTGAAGGAGGAAAAGGAGCGAAAGAGGTGGTATACAATCAACAGATTCAAGCAGAAAAAAAATCTGGGCGTAAGGCAAGACCACCGATTGGATTAGCGAAGGAAGTATAAAATGTGTATGGATTCGTGCATCAGATTGTCCAGTTAGAAAACTAGAAAGCGATCCAAGACCTGCAGAACTACTTGCAGACTACTTCTACCTTGTGGACGTTTTCTGGTGGGATTCTAGAAGCACATTTCCTGCAGTAAAGGTACACTGTCCTATCTATAATGGTACGAGTATTATGCATCATGATTATCCCATTCATTCAGTTGCCAGACGAATAATAGTGCGTGACCGCTGGTGGTTCCTTATGTCAAAGAGATATATCTGTGGTAACATGAATTGCAAGCGAACATTTTTAGCTCATAATCACGATGTAGTGGCAAAGTTGCCTGAGTATGTGCAACAGGAACTTCTCTGCTTATTGACACATAGATCAGGAATTTACATCAATCTCCTACACGAGCTTTAAAGACGAATTTAGTGAAGAACGCGTGTAAGAGCGACGAGTAGACGTGTGAGTGCGGCACATCACCGCCGCTATGATGCTGAAAAGTTATCTTGTCTCTCATGGCTACATGCGAAGAAGCAATCAGGTGCAGTGCTGGACTTTTCCAGCAACCAAACTTGGTTCGCGATCACCTGAAGACCAAGTATTTTGTGGGCATTTATCTGAATATTAATGACTTCGAGTAGGTGGTGAGTTGTCAATTTGTAGTTTCTAAAACTCATGCTGAGTTGAAAGCAATTTTGAAACCTCTGAATACTCGACAGCTGTTGCATGGTGTACAATTAGAGATTGTGTATGTGGACAACATAAGCGATGAGAATATATATACTGAATGCGTTCCATCTTTGAAAGAGGACCTGACTGCGCCTGAGATTGAAACCGAAAGTGCGACAAATATATTACCAACTGCGAAGATACCAGATGGTGTGACAGTACTTGTTGCAGCGAATGAGCAGCAGGCGAAGGATTATACCCGTATGTTGTGGAACGTGCACGTTACTACTTCTCGAGCAAATCCCATGTTCGGTGTATTGGCCTTAGACACCGAGTGGGAGGTAGACCGATACTATCAGAAGACAGAAAAGGTGGACATAAAATACAAGTCAGTCACGCATCTGTATGCATTATAATTAATATGTGTAGTTTAGGGTATAAGTTGCCATTTGAGACCATGAATTTCTTTAGGTGTACTGAATTCACTTGGACAGGTTCACGTGTACACATATATATCAAACACATGTTAATTGATTACAATATCAATATGCCGAAATACGTAGACTTAGCGATAAAACTAAAAGAGGAACGCGAAATTGCACGCGGCAATATGAGCTTACAACCTATGGTTGAAACAGTACTAGGTTAAGAGCTGAAGCAGGGCTTCAATACACTCGATGCAGAGTGGAAGTAACCACTGACTGAGAAGGCCACGTTGTACTGTGTATTAGATGTTATATACCCATACATCTTATTAAAACGAGCGTCGGTTCCAAAAATTTAGATCTATAACCGGATGAGTATGAGGGGGAAGCAGTTGTATTCGCAAAAGT